AGAAAAATGATATTCACCATTCACAACAACTAACTACATCTCAAGTGCTCAACAAACTTACTGCAGAAGACATATTTAAATGAGAAAGGGAAGGTAAACTATAATTAAAATTGTTTAATAATATTAAAACATTAAAAATTAACTTAACATGCAAACTTGTAGGTGTTAAAGCACTAAAGACGGGAAGCGTCTCATGTCGAGAATATTATTGTTACAAGTTCTAGATAAGAGACACTCGACAATTTACTGTATTAACATCAGTAGGTCGGTTGTTCCATCAATATGCTGTTGATATATACATAAAGCTTGAAACAATAAGACTTGATTATTTTAGAAAGAAGCAATCAGAAATCAGAACAGAGTTATTCCAAGGCATAGTTGATAGTGTAGTTGCCGGGGAAGCAAAAGCATGTCAAGTCGGAAAAAGAATAGTGCTATCATCATCATTTATTGGTGGTCCTAGAGATATGCGTCGTAGATATCTTGATGCAATGTCATTAGTACAACGATTTGAAAAACCAGATATTTTCATCACAATGACATGCTCCTGAATGGGAAGAAATCACGGAGGAACTACATCAAGGGCAAACACATAACGATAGACTGGATCTAACCTCAAGGATATTTCGAGCAAAATTGCATCAAGATATGAGCACACCAAACAAAAACTGTTAAAAGTTTTTCCAGAAAATCATAGTGCTTTTGCTCATCTGGTAAGTGAATTTAAGTATAAAATATTTTATGTTAACCTGATTAGTGATTCCTTGCTAAAAAGTCTCATATTTGCACTAGAGGATGATTTATTTAAATTTTATGCACCAGTAATCTTTACACCTTATTAAGCCATGCTTATATTGAATCAATGGTACATTCATAAATTTAATGTGAAAGGATGAATTGTTTTTTATCTTTTCTGAAGCAATTTAGTATGCTTTCACTTTTTTTTAGCTATTGCTTTCTAAATGAGGTCTTAAGTTTGTGCTTCATGATAAAATTTACATGTGTAAACTAGATATCTAACAACCTTCTTAATATCAATTCAACTGAAGTGAAATTAACACGTGTAAACAAGATTATCTGATAACCTTCTTTATCTCAATTCAACTGAAGTACTCTTGAATGGATATTTCTTTCTTACTTATATGTTCCAAAACTTAAGACTGCAGGTGCCATTGGAGGTGCTGCATCTTCACTATTCGTAAGATGGGGGAAATAGCGTATTATTTTCATCCATGGGTTAAGCATAGAAGCTTCTAAATCTATTGTACTTCATTCATGACAAATATACAGCCTAGCTCAATACCTGAATAAGTTGCTCATAGACAAACTTTAAGCTCAATACCTATTCTTTTGTGTATTTGCAACGTTGGACTCGTGTAGATGGAAATAGTTGCTTAACTTACTTCACACTATTGCTTATCAGAGGTATGTACATTCGCCTCACAATATTTTACATGTTCCTGCTGTGCAACTTCATGTAATTTCATGAACTAACTTGCACCATTTTCGAATTCATGAAGATGCTTTTTCTCTTATTTTTTAAGGGTATCTTAGTTGGCTGATTGTGAGAAAATATGCTGCCAGAAGTTGCATTGGACAATTTTTTTTCCTGTTTTTTGCCTTGCTGGAAATGTTCAATACCATCCATAGAAAAGTTCCAATTTAGTTCATATATAGTAATTTCAAATATGAGATTGACATTCTATTGCAATAGCAAGAAGGAAGTCTATTCTGCAAGTAACTTTGCAAGATATTATCAAATGATATATTAATGCAAACTTACACTAAAAGTGCAATGAGATGCGAAGATATTTTGTCAGTTGTTTTAATTGGGTATTCTATGTTTTATGTAGCCATAATTTACTCTCATGTCAGTAACATTTTAGTTCTTAATGTTGACAAATGTGCAGTAAAAAGACTGATTACTTAAAAAGGGTCTAGATCATGTATCATAACTTAGTTTTTAAACTATCTTGGTGTTAAATATCCATGACAATCTATCAGCCATTTCATGTTAACAATTATGTAATAAATATTGCCATGAGTAATAAACTTGATGTATTCACGATCCTTATAGATCACATTTGGGCTGTGCAGACCACATGACTCATCTAGAAAAGTTCTACAGTCACGTAGTTTCATCCTTAATACACATAGAATGAATTCTGTGGATCATGTAGTTGCATCCTTAATCTATTTAATCATGCAGCTGCATCCTTTATCCAAAACTTTGTCTAACATAATTGCATTTAGAAGTTTGTTTGTATTTATTCCAGGATGGATCAGTTTCCAATCTTTTTAAAAGCTGGCCAATTCGTGATCTTATAGAATATGATTGCATACAATAAATGAACATGCTGATTTCAATTTTGAAATTAACTTATGCTTATGCTTCTTAACATCTCAATTGTGTCTTGTCTTCATTCTATCTTTGGTATTGTTTCAATACAGTGGGAAATAAAAGTGGGTTTAAATCTTTACACTGTATGTAAAAAATTAATATATATTTCACATCCTAGCTCTAGAGGGAGAAATACAGGTAATATTAATAATTGTCATTTCTCATGTGGTAAACCATACTCTTCTGTTTATGCATGATTACGTCCTTTCTCTTTAGTTTGTTATCCTTCATCTTTCAATAATCCAACAGCGTTTAGTATTTTCTGTTTGGCATTTGTCTTTTTAGTTTTCTTATTCATTATTCATTTTGCTTCCTATATTTTTTTCTGTATCTCTGTGAAAATAGCATCTTGTCCTTTGTAAGTTATAAATTTAGTCCTTTCCTCAATTTTATTTCACCATCTTCTTATGCGATCATGTTTAATGAAATTTACTTTTAGTGCTTTGTAATTTCTGGAATATCATAGCTTTTACTCAAATGTCATCCTAGGAATTAGGATCAAGAGTATGCTACAGTTGATGATTATGTCCACTCACCAAATATTAATAAACTATTATACTTGCTGTTGCTGTTGGTGGTGGTGTTTTTGTTCTTGTTTTTATTTTTCCTGTAGAGCTTTTAATTACGTTTGTACCTTTCTGTCACAGGTACTTGTGCCAATTGCTAACGGATAAGAAGAGATGGAGGCTGTAATGATTATCAAAATTCTACGGAGAGCCAAAGCTAATGTTGTTGTGGTGTTAATTGAATATGGATTAAAAATTGTAGCATCTAGAAAAGTAAAAATAATAGCAGATAAGCTTTTGGATGAGGCTGTTAAATTACAATATGACATAATTATTTTGTCGGCAAGTTAATATAGCCATTGAACATCGAATTCTTCACCATGTGTACATATGTAAGTAAGTTTATATTTGCTTCCAATTACTTTGTGTGTGATTGATTCAATCATTTGTTGGTCTTCAAATAATATTCTTTATATTTTAATTTTCTTATTCTGATTCTCTTTTTTAAGGGGAAGAAGGCAACAACATACACTGCTATGTGCAGCAAGCTTTCTGATCAAAGTGAATGTGAGAATAGGGTGGTGGTTGATGGAAACCTGATCACAAGCAGAGGGCCAGGGACTTCCATGGAATTTGCGCTGGCCATAGTAGATAAGTTCTTTGACGATGCCCTCAATCTTGCAAGAAGCCTGGTTTTTGTATAATAAGCTAATAATAGCCCTGTGGTAGAGAGCTGGGCATAAGAATGTAATCAGCACTTTCTGAATAAACTAAGTTGCATTCAAATGCACAGATGTAGAAGCAAAAACAAACATTCATGTTATATCTATTGAGTCCTATACTTCAGAATGACATGAATGAGAATTTTGGGTTGTTAAATGTAAGTTGGGGGGAGTATTTGCTTGAGTTGCTTATAAAATCTTATTTGAAGGTTTGACAGTAAAATTCATATTCATATTCTTTTTAAATTTTTTTGGGAAATTTTATTTACATTTTAAGGTGTTGTCTGCTCACTGCTGGTATCTATTTGTAGTTTACTAAAAAAATATGTTAGCTTACAACTTGAGTGAACGTTACAGTTTTGTTCCTGGAGCTGTTAATGTTATTGATAAGAGTATTAAATACATTTATCTAATGTTTGAATGTGTTGATTTTGTTTTATTTTTATGTTTGCATATGTTTTGAGTATCCAAGAGTATTTCGAGATTTGCCAAGGGTGTTCACATATTTGTGTTTGGATGTGTTGACATTCTTTGATTATCTAATGATTATTCTCCCATAATACTGAATATTCATCTATTGTTTATATTTAAATCCCAATGTCCTTAAAAAGTTACTCATCAACCTTAATAATAATATTTGATCAGACACAGTTTAATGAGTGTTTTGAAATTTATATGGGATTGTGAAATTTTCATGCGTGAATATATGTACTCACATATTACATATTACAAAGACTTAGTCAATCTTTGAATGCCATGAGCTTGGACTTACATCCACATCATCAAACATTACTATTATGTATATTCTTGTGAAAGTATTTGATTGATCAATCACGTTATAGATGCAACCAGTGTATTATCGCCCAATCAATCAATAAATATAATTTATTTGTTCAAATGTTGAATGTTTAGATTATGTCTATATGTTTGATCCATTACTTACATTCCATAATTTTATAACAAAACATTATAAATAAAATTATAAATTTTAAACAAAAAATAAAAATTTTACCACGTGCATTGCACGTGCAATCCAACTAGTCATTCTCCCTTTAAAAGAGGGAGTACTAGAAAAACTTTCTCTACCCAAAATAAATGAGATCACAACCTACATTATTTGATTGACTTAAAGTAATAAAAAGACAAGAACTAAATATTAATAGTAACTATAGTATAATTTTATGTGATGTAAGCAATCACATAAGAATACAAACTACTAATAATTTTGCATGAAATCCCTTATAAAAATTCCTAATTCTACTTAAAAATTAAGTTATGATATAAAATGATAAGTAAAATACGATCCTTTATTATTTTTGTTTCATATTTTTATTGAACCGAGATCAATCTTTCTCCACCTTTATCTTTTTCATGGGCAATTCTATAGTAGCATCATCATCATCTACGTCGATTGTAATATCAGGCTGGAGTTGGATTTCATGTGCTATTATATTTCCTTCACCTCGTTCATCTTTTATCTTTTTATCTAACTTCACCAGGAACTTGAACGTCTTTCCGATGTTCAACACAATTTTTTGGAAATATCGACTCTGATTATTTTTCTATTTCAATGAGAACAAATGTTAGTTTAATATATATGATTTTTTTTTATTTTCTAAATTATTACTTGAATAGAGTTAGGAATTACCTCTTTTTTCTATAATGAATTTTTTTGTTGTGCATCAAATAAGAGTTTCTGCTGCATCAAATAGTGTTACTCTTCCATTATCTGTGCTATTTTCCACGAGAATTTTAATGACGTACATGTAGTTTTCATTGTTGATTTCTAGAGATAGTTAATATTGTATTTTAATATGTTCATGTAATAAAAAAGATATATTACTTAACCTTGACACTGAGTCATCAATGATTCTGGGGTATTTATCATTCAAACACTCTAAACTAACATCTTTATCTACCTTCTCGTTGCATCCTTTGCAAGCATAGAAGAACTATAATCATATGTAATCCAAAAACCAGAGAATAAATTTCTACGAAGGAAAATCATATGTCATATTACCATTAATTATGAATACATATGAGCAATGTAGATAGTTAGAAAAATTAGTGTATATTTTCATGAAAATTCAATAGTAAACGACTAACTATAATCATTATCGCAATTAAAATATAAAAACTATTGATATTCTTTACTAACTTGATACTCGTAATTATGGAATAAATCTTGAGTACGAAATTGAACTTGAGATGGTATTATCCTATAGGTAAAAAAATGTGTCAAAAAATAAAAAACCATGAGAAAATAATGTGGAGGACTGTATATACTCTCATTGCAAATTGGATAAATATGATGGAAATGCATTAGTATCCACAACCACAGAAAGAAATGGAGTACACATTGGACCTCAGGTAAGAACAAATACAATATAGGAAATAAAGGAAAAATTTGATATTTTATCAAAGCATATTCCTATCAAATTAAATTCAATCCAAGTAATTTGTATATGAGTTGCCTTATTTATATATGTTTCTATTGATTTTCTAGAGTGGAACGCTGAATCATTGCGTGGTGCCAAGTGGAATGGAGAAGTTGGTTCTCTTTATCATGGAAAGATATATAGAACAATACACCTATGTACATAACCGAGAATAGTAAATTTGCAGAAGGATAATGCAAGTTGATTCACCTTAGATTTTTAACTCACTGTTTGTTTTTCCCCCTTTCAATTTCATATACCGTGTGCATTTTTTATTCCTTTGTTGTGTTGAGATTTTTAACCCAATATTAGTTTTGATATTGTGCATCTGCCTATTTGTTCTCACGTTATAGCCAAAAAAATCCATGATGGTGTGTCCATTAATGAGTTGCTTAGTGATAAAGAAAGAATAGAATACATCAGAAGTTACCTCACCCCTCTTTCTGCTGCCATGAGGTATTTTTGCTACTCTAAGTTAGATGATAACGACAAATAAATCCATCAATACTAGTGAGTTGTCACCTCGTCCAAATATTATACAATCATATCTTTGTTTTATTTTAGACAAGGTGCGAACATTAGGGGTTATTTCATGTGGAGTCTGATGGATAATTTTGAATGGGCATTTGGCTATACACAAAGATTTGGGTTGTATTATGTTGACTTCAAAACACAAGACAGGATTCCAATATTATCTGCAAATTGGTACAATAAATTTTTGAACATTCCTACAATGCTTCTAAAGCCAGGGATTGACATGTAATCCTCGATCTAATTTATATTACGGAACCTAGCAATTCACAGTAGAAGGTTTATTTGTAAGCTATTCTGTTTAATAATTTGTACACATATTATTGGTATAATGGTCAGCTTAGCTTATTTGTGTATGTAAATTGAATTTATTATTTAGCTCCAACTCCAGAATGTAACTATTTGAGATTTGCAGTAAATAAATGAGAGTTTGAATACATGTGATTTGCATCTAAAAGGACAGCCAGATCAAAGCATATCACAACTATTTGAGACTTGTCATACACTTTGTGTTCCAATGTTATGTACTCTTCTCCATCCTATACTTTTTGCATAAAAGATGTTCTATACTTCTTTTTTCATCCCCTACTTGTGTTTTGATGATTTTTGTTCTTCTTGCGTGTTTGTTATGTACGTGTCCCTTGGGAAAGGTTAAAGTGTCTCGGCCAAATATTAGTGTGTTTTGTAGGTTTAAGTGTCTCGGCCAAATATTAGTGTGCTCTTTTCTTCAAAACGTCTGTTTTATGTGTTTTAAGGATAAGATGATGAACTAAATAAGAACTCCCAACATCATAGTTTTAAGTATATGGGTGTAGGCGTCAAAAATTGCCTTTAAGTTACCACACATAGCTCAAGACAAAGAGAAGACGATAAACACCATCATCTGAGTCAAAGAGGATCATTCGATGTCAAAGAACAACTAAGAAATGCAAAAAATACAAAACAACAATCAGGCGTCACACAAATTCCGAGACAAGGAAGTTGTCTCGGAAACTATGATGTAATTCATAGTTTCCGCGACACAGAACGTGTCTCGAAAGCTATGAGACAACTCATAGTTTCTGAGACAGAATGTGTCTCGGACACTATGGTGGAGTTTCACACTTCCGTTGACAGTTTTCTTGGGTTTTTTGCTATCCACGTGGCTTCATAACTGCTGGGGATCGTGTGTGAACGTGGGAGGACCGTTACAAATGAAAAGTCTGCTCATAACTAAAGAGATAATAGCATTTAAAGGCGGGAATGTCAGTTACAAAACTAGCTGGTAGAACCCCTTCTTTCGAGACACGGAACGTGTCTCGGAAATAGGGGACTGTTAAGTGTGCTTTATTTTGATTTCCTACCTTCAGTAACTGCTTCTAGGGACTATAAATGTTTCCCTATCATCCATATGTATGGGAGGAAGGCAGAAAAGGTAGAGACTTGAGCAATTTGATGAATTTTAAGCAAGAGAAAGAGTATTCATTGTTTTCAAGCACTTCCAAGAGCCTTCGCGTTTCCTCAAGATCTAAGCTTTGACTTGATCTTGGGAAGAGTGTTTTATCTTACCTTATTGAGATATTCACTTCTGTCCTTGTTTTTAAAATGAAACATCGACCTTAAGCCTTCTTCACGATTCAACTTGGATCTGTGATTCGGTCGTCCATGGGCTAACGCACCCTCGGCACATGCAAAGATCACACGCAAGCAGCGGGTGATAAACGTCCTCTGCGTGTGTTTCTAGAGAGTTGTATTTTTTTTATTTTCATTGTGTAAGAAATTCTTATAAAAAGACCAATTTTACTTTGAATCTGTAATCGATAAATGTGTAATGGATTCAACAATGAAAACAACTTTCGATGCAAACACGCTAGCGACCACAGTGGGAGCCAATGGTCTTACTACCGAGACCATCATGTCGCAACCAATCAAGATCTCGGTTGAATCTATAGTTGAGTACGAGTTCCACCAAGCAAAGTTCGAGGAATATCTCTCCTCATCCTCCTCAAGATCTTCCTCATCTCGCAAGTACAGGAAGATTTCATCCGTGAAGAAGGTGTTTCAATCTTCAATTTCAATGAAGGCTATGAGTGATGAATCACCCAATCGTTGCTGAGGTTTCCCCTCACAACGCTGCTCCGATGATTAACAATGCCGGAACCTCTGCTCGCAACGACTCCTCTCAAGTTAAGAAGTTGTTGAATGAAAATTCACTGACTCTGACGAAGAGGGTTCGTCAGAGACAACGCCAGTGCCACGCTCATCAGCTAGCTAAGGATATGGAACAAATCGACGGAGTTCGCTACTACGCGGATGTGACGCCCCTAGGTTCACACAAGGCTACAATCCAAGGTGAAACTAGAGATGTCAAACCTGCCATGCACCAACACTGTGCATAAACATGTTTCATTGATCACAATAATATCCTCTAGTAAAACCAAATAGAAGTGCAGGTACAAAACAGGTAAAATAAAGGGAATAAATGTAATAGACATGATATAGAAAAGAGATCTCATAAATGAAAAGAATCATGTCTCAACTATAATACATCTGATATCTGAATAATGAAAATATCTCAACATGAATTAAATAAAAATCGTACTAAGGCACACTGCCTTTACAATATGAATATGAAACTCTAATGTCTGGATAAAACTCAAAACTACAGTGGAGTCTCTACAAGTAAAAATATGTGACGGCGACTATGCCAGAACTCCGTCACCCTGCGGCTCTCTGAAATTCTGAACTACCTAAAAAGTAATTTAAAAGAAAAAGAATAACAACAAGAGCGTCAGACCGCTACAGAAAGATTACCTCCCTCCGTTCCCAGGGGAAGGGCTGCTAGATGGAGTGAAGGCTCTATCTATTAAGCATAGTCTACCTAGATTCATTTTTCCTGTATTTAAGTGGGATTAATATTTAGAAACCTACAACACGAGACATGGTACGTCTAGCGAAATAATCCAAACAAGGAAACCCTCATGTATATACCATAAGCCTCAAATTGTAGATATCTAAATATTAATACCGAACTAAGAAAAGACAATCTAATAAAACCAACAATTAAAAATCCATAACACGAGACTGGTACGTCGAGCGAAATAATCCAAACAAGGAAACCCTCATATATATACTATATGTCTCAAGTTGTGAATCTCTAATCATTGATCCCAACTAAGAAAGTAAAGAAGACAGTAAAAGAAATAAGATATCAACACACGTAATTTTATAATATATTCCACTATCATTGGAGGATAGGATAAAATACCAACACATATTTTGATACTTTTAAAAGTAACGTATCTCAGTCATATAGTTCAATGATAGGTCGATTCATAACCGGCATCTGCCATACTTAGGCTATCAAGTATTGTATCAGTCGCACCGGACTACCCTGTAGGTATCCTGAACTGTGTAGCACGGCTCATTAGTCTCAATCGCGATCTCAGTGCGTAATATGAGTGCGGATGAACTACCAATGGCATCCTAGAAATACGACTGTTTGTTGGAAATTTGCGGTAAAAAGACAATGAAAGAAAAATTGACTTGTATTCCTCTCAAAATCAATTACAATTTGGATTCCGATTACAAAAGAGAGGAGAATGAATTTGATTCTCCCCTTTGTTTAATTCTGGGTTCTTCACGGTAGCGGTGGAGTGCCTCCCTCGAATGCTCGCATCGAGTTTGCTCTCCGTTGACGATCCGTACGTCTTGATTCACTGGAACGTAGCCTTCTCCTTACGATTTGACGCTGTGGAGGACTTGCGTGGCAAGTTTGAAAATAACTCTTAACGAGTTAATAACTCAGAACGAGTTTAGAAAGACTCTGTGAAAGAGTTGATTTAACCGAGTTGATTTAACCGAAATCGGTTAGTAAGCCAAGGATGAAGAAGATCCTGTTGCTGGTCTCTAAAACTCCAACAATTCCCCTCAAAAGCTAGCCGAAGATCTCTTCTTTGCTCCCCCCAAAAAAAAGGATCCGAACTCAGTTGAGTTTCCCACTATTTATAGGGGATTAAGGGTGGTAACTACCCCCTTAATCCACTCCTAAGTGGGGTAGAAATCCCTCAGAACGTGGGATAAACGGTTTTGAGGCCGTTCAACTTGTGTTTGAACAAGTCAAACGCCTAAATTAGCGTTCTGGACCTTAACTCTGCGTCTTAGAGATGAGACGCAGAGTTAAATCTCTGCTAGAGATTGGAAACGCATAGGCCGCACGCGTTCTGTAAATTGGAGACGCACAGTTGGGACGCAGAGATGAATTCTGCGTTTTGACATCTGAGACGCAGAGATGAACTCTGCGTTTTGGCATCTGAGACGCAGAGGTGAACTCTGCGTTTTGGCATCTGAGACGCAGAGGTGAACTCTGCGTTTTGGACCTGGAACGCAGAGTTGGGTTCTGTATGAACTCTGCGTTTCGAGTTTGGAACGCAGCTACGGCCTCTGCGTTTTGAATCTGGAACGCAGCCACGATCTCTGCGTTTTGAGTTTAGAACGCGGGCACGACCTCTGCGTTTTGAATCTTGGATGCAGAGGTGAGCCTTCGGTGGGCTCGGCGAGCTTCAGGCTAAGTCCGATGTTCTGACGAAGTCCAGTCTTGCAGACGGACTTCAGAACATAACTTGCTGCGAAGAACAGGTCATAACTTTCAAACCGTAAGTCGGAATTGGACGAATTATATATGAAAATCGGCTATCTCGACGAGGCGGATCCATCCGAACTAAGCCAAAGGCTTTAGTTCGCTTCCTCCGTTTTTGCCAAATTCCTTACGGTTTGAGAGATATCTGCATTTTAACATGAAGAGACTGTCAATTTGTAGTCTCTTTTGCTAGAGCGTTGCAAAGATCGTCACCTTGTAACCTTCGTCTTGGCTCCTTGAAAATATAAGAGTCATCAGATTGTAACTCCCGATGTTGATTGTGAAGGCTGTTGAATTAGATTTTTCATCAGTTGTCGTGAAGGTCGTCAGATTGTAGCCTTCTACGTGAAAGTCCTCAAATTGTAGCTTCCATCATCGGTAACATGAGTGCGGGACAGACTACCAAATAGGCATCCTAAAAATACGGTTCACGAGCCTCATCGCACCCTAGTGCGGGACGGACGACTAGATCAAGCCTCCTAAAATCCGACTCAATGGCCTATACATGTGGAATATCGACGTACTACCTCATGTAGTACTGAACTGAGCTCATCAACGATATCCACCTCATATAAATCTTTGTATCTCTGGTATGTCGACGCACTATCCCATAT